GCTATGAGAAAAATATTCTTTTTCCATTTTCTTTGAAACTTGAGGATATGAATCTGATAGAATTCCTAGAATTTGATGTAGCCTATCATAACTTGTGTAAGTGTGGCTGAATGTATTTCATTATTTGTAGTTTTCCCATGAGGTTAGTGCAGAAGGCGTAGTGCTATCCTGATAGATAATCCATAATTTCAGTCTACTCCTATTACGTCTACTAACAGGTAAATATCAAATCTATTAAACATACCAAAAATGGCAATAAAGTTGAAAAGTAGTAACATATAAGAGTGCAGGACAAATGATACAAACAGTCCTATATATGTTTATTAAAAAATACAGCCCATTGAGCTGAATAAGATTTACTATGGGATTGCTGTCAGAGCAAAACTCACTCTCTGTCTCTAATTTTGTCTAATATATGATTAAAGTACTACAAAAATAATGTTTAATTTTTTTCCCACTACAAAGGATGAGAAACAAATCAAGGAAAGCAAAGCAAGATTACTTACGGTAAATGGAATACGTAAATTTGTACTGTAACATTGAGTGTTCCTACCTCCCAGGACCAGTCTAATTATTTTTAAGTGATTAAAGCTTTTAGATCTCCAACTAAATTCCATGATCTAATTTAAATCAGAATATGACAAATCATTTGTTATCCAGGGCCAGATAAAATGACTAAGAGAGCCAGTTTGGTCTAGCGGTGAAGTGCTGGCATAGAAACTAGAGATGGAGAGTTCTATTCCTGCCTTAGGAATGAAAGTTAGCTGGTTGACTTTGGGCCAGTCACTGTCTCTCAATTTAACCCAATTCACAGCGTTGTTGTGGTGGAGAAAATAGAAGGAGGAAGGATGTATGTTTTCTATCTTGAGTTACTTATAAAGTAATAAAGGTGAATAAGAATCTGATAAATAAATAAAATATATAAAGAGAAAAGAAATAATGATTATCAGTATTCTTTACCATAAAAGAATTTTTACCAACTTTGTTACAGTTATCGGCATAATTAAGAATAATGAGAAACATGGGGTGGTCCAGCACACTAGATGTTTTGATGGTATTGTTTTAAGTCAGAGATTCCCAAGCTTATCATAGCACCACTTAGTGCCTCCATAATTTATTTGACAGCAGCCCCAGACCAAAATTATGAACTACTGCAAGCTGATAGTTTGCAATCCTGTGGTAATAGCACAGTTTGGACATCACCATTTCAAGTGTTTCCCTGTCCCTTTCCAACTTGCTAGACCTCCAAGTGACTGTTAATACACTGTGACACAGCATTAGGACGGTGAAAGAGTAGATCCACTTTTTCAAAATATAAAGCTTCTTTGCACTAATTGTGATTAACCAGTTTGGTGAGTCAAATCCAAATATAGTCCCTAGGGGAAAATATGGAAGAAAACTTCCCTTTCTTGAGCATCTTTCTAAGAAAATATTTATTTTTTTGCTTTTGTTTTATGTGGCAAGTGAGCATTGTTGAAAGAAAAGTCTTCATCATGATTCAGTCCAAGCTGGGAATAAACAACACGGCGACTGCTTTAGAAAGAAGGTTGCAGCTTATTGAAGAGGAGAGCCAGACAGGAAGATGGCTCTGGAAGAAAAAGAGCGAGAGTATGGGTTTTTATACCTTCTTGAGCCTTTGGAGTTGTTCCTGTGCATGAACTTTGACCTGAGTCTGAGTGTGCCTTTCTGGTATTCTGATGGTGGTGGGTTAATCCTATTATGTCCCAAAGGTCAATCCTGCTTCCCTGGGGCTGAGGCTGATGACTCTTAGATTTTTGGTGTGAGGAATTGTTAATTTTAGCGATCTTTCTTCCTAATCCCAGCTTCCTGACTCCAATCTTTCTGACAAGATTATCATATCTGCATTTTTGCAGACTTGGTTTCTGTTTGGGACAGAGAGACTTGGGGGCAGGGTTGGTTTCTTCTTTTAAAATCCTTTAGGGAAATATATTCTGCCTTTTAAGTATTTCCAAAAATATTTCTTTCTTGGGGGGGGGCTGACTTTCCACAGCATGATTTAATTTGACTTAATCAATTTTGGTCTAATGAACTGAGGAGCTCTTTTATTCCTCTTATGTTTATGGATGGAGCTTATACATACATGAGTATCATAGCTTCACATTTTAACACATTCACCGAAACATACATCTATGTGAGAAAAGTATTTTAAATTTCCAAATAAGAACAGTATATAGTATATTCTTATTATACGGATTTACGTGTAGTGACCCGAGGCAAGTCTGGTGGTTATTCAAGGCTTCCACAATTTGTGAGCTACAACTTGCATGACCTACTGGATGCACCGAGTGGTTTGCCTATGCTTCCTTAAGGATCTTTCTGAGGCTTTTTAGACCTGCAAAAATAGGGTGGATTGAAGCAGCTTGCTGACAGACTGCTGTCTCTGGCCGCAGAACAGGGTTGGGTGGGGCAGAGGGGAATTTAAGCATTAATACAGTGCGCAAAAAGCCAACTTCTGCCTTCCAATGATTCCACAGTCACAACAGCAAATGTTCTGGTACTCACTCAGTTCATGCATTTGTATCTTTAGTTTGTATTTTCTTAAATAACAATCCTAACACAGTTTAAGAACCTCACACAAACAAGACAAATCTGTATTTAGCAGCTATTTAACAATGCATAAACATGACCAGCAACTGATAAAAATCCTCCCAAAATCTGAGGCTCCATTAAACAATGGGTAAATAGGTATGTTAAACAAAGACAATTTCTTTGCTTCATTATAAAATATAACAATTTTCTTCCATCCCTGTAAAATTCAGAAACTGGATTAGGCAGCCCAGAAGTGACTGTGTCATAGGATGACTGAGCAAACTGAGTTTATTTTAGGTGAACTGGATGGTCTTCTGGATGAGCACCTGCGCATGCCTAAAACCAGTAGATATTAGGGCAGTGACATCAGTTTAGCACAGAGCCAATTGTATAAGCAAATATTCAACCAATGTGCCCCTCACTTTCCCCACTTCAAATATAACAATTTGATCTGAATTATCTTGTCTTAAGTCATAGTCTCACCAGGAGTTCCCACTTAAATGAGTTAATATTGAAGAATTTTTATTCTGAAACACTGATATCCTTTGGAAGTATTTTTCTTCTCAGAAGCATTCACTTCTACTCAATACCATTATTCACAGTAAAATTACCTTTCCTAAAGTGACCCGCCTTGTATTATTGGCTTGAGGTTCTACTGGGTCCTTAAAGTTAGAGCTGATGTAACTGGAAATGGGAAGTCAAGTGAAAGACTTCTGCAGAGACTACAATGGTGATAGCTGCAAGGGACAAAGTCTTTCTGAGGCTGGAGATATAGTTGCTAAACTAGAAGGCTGAGTTGTCAGGACCACTTTATGCTGCTGGAATGCACAAAACAAAAAACACACTATGCCTACACTTTCAAATGCTAGGAAAATCATAGCCATCCCCCAATACAATGGACATGACATCCATCAACCGGACTCTTCATTTTCTGTAGAAATAAATCATGGCTATCCCTCCCCCCTCGTTTTTGTTTTTGTGCTTCTGTCCATGCATAAATATTGATTTGATGACCGATTATACAGTGCATCCTACTCCAAACAAAGCTGCACGACAAGAATTTATTCTTAGAACTAGAAACGGTTAAATTGGTGAGAACAGGTGTCCCCAGGATTACAAAACTGTCTCATACCCTCAGAGGCCATTTATCTGTTTTAGACCAAGAATCGAGTCCTAGGAATAATGCTTCTCAACAATTTCAGGTATAAACAAGTTAATGTCTTGCAAATGTCCAGCACATAAAACATGCAGATCGCTTGCAGATTACAATCAACAGTAGTTACAAATTCAGGCCAGTCTCCCTTTCAGTGCCCTAACCTCCAAAAGTTGTATGTCAAATCATTTCGATCACAATACTTAGAACCTAATTCGGGAAACTACTAAGACGACCGCCACTATTCCAGATCCCGAGTAATCCTTTCGGCTTTGCTCCCATCCTCTTTAAATCGCTGAGCGTCATTCCTACGGGCAATACCGCCGTAAAGCGGTTTCCCAAAGCGCATGCGCCCATCCATCCCCGCATCTCGCCCTACTTTTGACACCAGAGAAGGAGAAACCGAACCTCGGCTGCACGAACGCTCAGGCGCGTACAGTTCCCAAATCGCTACGGAGAAACGGTGTGATTTATTTATACATTTCGGTCCATCTCCGGCTCAGCCTTTTATCCAGACTCAGGACTGCAAAAGTGTTCATCCCAACACCGTCCCCCCCACACACACACTCACCACCCCCGCCGCCTTTTGTTCTGCTTTTCCTGGAATCGCAGCTAAGCAACCTCGCTAAGCTCATTCACACAAGAAGAGGACGAAGAGGTGACCCCTAGAAGCAGCGACACATTCAGCAGCTGCAGCCGGGAGAGGTAGGGGTGGTGGTGCGGCAGAGTTTGTACCGTGACCAACGGGCAAAGATACCTTACCTCATTTTCTTACAATTTGGGGGGGGACCCCTCTTTATAAGCAGTCGGACTGCGGCATAGGCACTGCGGCCGAAGGGCTGAGACTTACCCAGAAAGAGCCAGATGGAGCCTCCAGAGACAAGCAAAAGGGTGAGCATGCCTACCGGAGCGGGCTGCAGCATGGGCGGCCTGAGGCGCGAAGGCAGCTCGAGGGGGGGACTGCAGCAAACTCGCTGCAGTGACAGCGGCGGCGCTCGCCCGGCTGCCAGGCGCAAGCCCGCCTGCCGCTGCGTTCCCGCGGCAGCGAAGGTTATTTTTTTAGCCCCGCCCCTTGTCCCCGGCTCTCGCGCCCGGCCTCTAGAGAGAAGGCAACGTGCTCCTCGACGCCACAAAGGTGGCGACGCGCGCCTGGGCAACCCACGCAGCCGCCCTACCTACCGGTCTCCCGGCGCGCGCAGCAACCCCTTCTGAGCCCGCCGCGACCCTTGGCGGGCGGAGAAGGCATAGGCCCGGCCCGGGTACCGGCAGCGGGCTGTCAAAGCCCGCGGTCAGGAAGAAATATCTCGTCCGGCACGCAGCGAAGGTCGGAGGTGTCCTCCAGTAGGCATCGGATTGCAGCGTCCCGCCTCGCCCAACGGTGAAAACCTTTGTTCACCCGTTTATTCAGCCAATCCGGCTCCGTTGTTGGTTTGACAAGTGAGTTTCGTGTATTGCTATAGTCACAACCCCACTCTACCTCTTGTATAAACTTAAGCAGATGTATGTTTTTAAAGTAATGGGGGAAATAATGGTGTAAATTGGCAAATCACCTCAAGGATTCCGGTACAAGCTAGACGGGCTTGTATAAAAATAAAAATAAAAATCATGAAATTCTTAGATCATTGATGGCATCTCCTTTGAATAACAGAATGACAGAGTTGGAAGGGACCTTGGAGGTCTTCTAGTCCAACCCCCTGCTCAAGCAGGAGACCCTATACCATTCCAGACAAGTAAGTAGCTGTCCAGTCTCTTCTTAAAAGCCTCCAGTTATGGAGCATCCACATCTTCGGGAGGCAAGCCGTTCCACTGGTTAATTGTCCTCACTGTCAGAAAATTTCTCCTTAGTTCTGGGTTGGGTTTCTCCCTGATTAGTTTCTATCCATTGTTTCTTGTATTGCCTTTTGGTACTTTGGAGAATAGGTTGATCCCCTTTTCTTTGTGGCAGCCCCTTAGATATTGGAAGACTGCTATCATGTCACCCCTAGTCCTTCTTTTCACTAGAGTAGACAAACCTAATTCCTGCAGCCGTTCTTCATATGGTTAACCTCCAGCCCCTAATCATCTTTGTTGCTCTTTTCTACACTCTTTCTAGACCGAAAGCCTCTACATCTTTTTTATAATATGAATTGAACATGAGCAGACCACCTACACCTTTGCACCTGATTACTCTCAGTTTCTATATTCTTTTTTTTGTTGTTGTTGTACCTTCAAGTCCATGTTGACTTCTGGTGAGTGCTTAGACAAATCCCTGCTGTTTTCTTGGGAATATTTTTTAAAAGTGGTTTATAGTTGACTGATTCCTAGGGCTGAGACAGAGTAACTGGCTCAACATCACCTAACTAGCTTTGTACCTGAGGCAGGACTGGAACTCACAGTTATTCAATTACTAGCCTGGTTCCTCTATCTGTACACTACCCATTGGCTATGATTCCTAAAAGAGGGTGGAGAACACTGGTACATGTAAAGCAGGTTTCCAGTCTAGATGTTTGTACTGTGCAGTAACCAAAAATTCCCTGTGCATAACAGAGAAATTTGAGATTATTATCAAGAGAGATATGCATATTACAAAGCCTTAACTTCCATTACCCCGAGCCAGGCTGCCAATATCAGTTGTCCTCAACTTACAGCTTACAACAGCTCATTTAGTAACAGTGCAAAGTTACAACAGCACTGAAAGCATTAACTTATAACTATTTTTCACGCTTATGGTCGCTGCACCATCCCCATTGTCACATGATCAAAATTCAGGTGCTTGGTAACTGACTCTTATGACAGTTGTAATGTCCTGAGATCATGTGATCACCCTTTGCGACTTGACAAGCAAAGTCAGTGGGGAAGCCAGATTCAGTTAACAACTGTGTTACCAATTGCAGTGATTCACTTAACAGCTTTGGCAAGAAAGGTCATAAAATGGGACAAAATTTATTTAACAATTATCTCCCTTAGCAAGAGAAATTTTGGACTTGGTTGTGATCATAAATTGAGGACTACCTACATTATTTTCAGCAAGCACTGTCTGTACCAGGGATGTTCAATCTCAGCAACTTTAAGACTTCAATTGCTTTGTCAAGGTTCACAGTCTGAAACTGATCCCAGATAAAGATGAAGCCTCTATCAACTCTGCTGGATTTGCCCAGGCAGCATCCAACACTGAGTGAAAGTGACTGATTACATCCTCCAAATGTTTAGTGAATTCATTGCAGTGGCCCAGCAGTCAAACTTCTAGCTTAGTTTCCCTAAAATAGGTATTCAGATATCTTGTGATAGGATAGGCAACTTGGATAGGGATAAAGCTGTGCAGCAGGGTAGTCAGCAGTAGCACCCCTGACTTGTTCCTCAAGCCCTAACCTCACAAAGAGGTCTGACATGCATTTATGTGTCTACTACAGTGTCACTCCATAAACAATTGTCATTCCAACTTCCATACCTTGGTATTTTGACTGCTGCAATATCTTTTATTTAGCTTTATCCCATCTGTATTATTTTTACAAACAATTCAAGTCAATGAACATACCTAATACTCTTTCCATTTTCTGTTTTCCCCACATAGCAACCCTGTGAGATGGGTTGGGCTGAGAAAGAATGACTGGCCCAAAGTCACCCAACTAGCTTTCATGCCTAAGGTGGAACTGGAACTCACTAGTCCAGTGTTTCCCAAACTTGACAATTTTAAGGCATGAGGACTGCTGGCTGTGGAATTCTGGGAGTTGAAGTCCACATGCCTTAAAATTGTCAAGTTTGGGAAACACTGCACTAGTCTCCTGGTTTTTAGCCTGGTGCTTTGGCCACTAGACCAAGCCAGCTCTAATATCCAAGATCAAATCATAGATAATTATAGGCAGATCTGCCATTTAATACCACAAAGAAGATCCCAAGGTACTCATAGCCCCCCTCCCAGGCTTCTGAGATGAGGTGGGGGAGGGACTAGATCAGTGGTTCTCAACGTTTGTGTGACGGCGACCCCATCACACAAACGTCCTGCGCATGCGCGGCGGTGCGCACATGCGCGGCGGCGCCCCATGTGTGGTGCACATGCGCGGCAGCGCCCCTGTGTGTGGTGCACATGCGTGGCGGCACCCCATGTGCGGCGCGCATGCGCAGCGGCACCCCCATGTGCGGCGCGCATGCGCAGCGGCGCCCCCATGTGTGGCACGCATGCACGGCGGCGCCCCCTGAGGGGAGAAAATGGCAGATCGCCTTCTTTGGCGACCCCCGAAAAATGGTCGATCGACCCCAAATGGGGTCGCGACCCATAGATTGAGAACCGCTGGACTAGATGAAGAGATTGGTCAAAGGTTTTCCTGATCTTCACTCCTACTCCTCCTGTATTTCTAATGGCTGTTATGCTTTTACTACTTGTTGAGCTTTTCCGTCAGTCATGGGACAATAGATATGCCAGTTCCTCCTTCCTTCAACCAAGGTATACTCTCATCCATTGTACAGCCACCATTCAAACCCCCTGGCTATACACATTTGATTCCTACTGTACACTTTTGACCTAGAGTCCATGGAAGTCACTGAAAGTTCAGAGTCAATCTCAAAATGGGGTGTGTGTATCAATTTTCATATTATTTCATTCACTGAAAGAAAAAGAGAATCTTCATGTTAGCAAAAATGTACTAGCCTCTAAGAAACCCTTAGGCTTCCGTGATGGCAGAGGGCAGTTTAGAATGTTTGCATTTTAAAAAAAAAAGTAGAATGGCTGTTGTGGTTAATATTATTAACACTCCGTTTTTGACCTGCTTTCAGAACTGCTTGCTTATGAATAAACACAGAAAGTTCCTGTCCTCAGGCCTACAGTCTATCAAAAAATATGTAGAACAAAAAGGAGATGAGAAGAAAACAGAGTACCCCTACTCGAATAATCAGAGCAACAGCAAGGGAAGATGGTTGTTCCTCCTTCTTTGCCTCTTTCTCATGAAGCAATTATTCCTGATTATGCTTTACACACCAACACTGAGCTGGAAGACAGAATCAACAACCACAGTGTTATTGTTTTACTAAAATCCATCTTTATCATGCTGAGATACCTTCCTTTCTCTCCCCCCCCCCATGTTATTTATCTTTTAAAGTTCTTTCTTGACTGAAATTCAGCTTTATTGAATGTCAATTATAATTTATGGAACAGTGTTTGGATAATATGATAATAAGAATCAGTTATTTAGTATTGGACATGGGGGGAGGAGCAATTTATTTTTTAAATCTAGTATCAACCAGTTCCTAGACTGATTTTGACAAGTCAGCAGTTCTTAGCCTAAAATTTACCTCAGTGTTATTTTTGTAGAGAAAGAATAGGAGAAGGAGTGCTGTGTGTTAGCTACCTAGAATGGGTAGGCAACCCAAAATACTCAAAGAGCCACTTGGACCCGTTTCCCACTGAAAACAAAACACAGGGAGCCGCAAAACCCTTTGGATATCTAAAATGAAGATAAGATTGCATATATCCATATATATATGGATATATGCAGTCTTATCTTCATTTTAGATGTCAAAAGGATCTCTCTCTCCCTCCCCCCCTCCCTCTTTCTGCCCTTGGTCTGCTAGTCTTCTTCCCCCTGTGTGTGTGTGTGTGTGTGAGAGAGAGAGAGAGGGGGCATTTGCGCTTCCCCCCCTTTCTCTCTTTCCTCTCCCTCTTTCTTCTCTCCCTTTCTTTCCTCTCCCTCCCTTTCTCTTTCCTCTTTCTTCTCCTTTTCTCTTTCCTCTTTCTCCCTCTTTCTATGTACTCTCTCCCCCTTTCCTCTCCCTCTCCCTTTCTTTCCTTCCTCTCTTTCTCCCTTTCTTTCCTTTCTCTTTCCTTTCCTTTCTTTCCTCTCTCCCTTTTTTCCTTTCTCCCTCTTTCCTCCTTTCTATTTCTTTCCCCCCTCTCTCTCCCTCCCCTTCTTTCATCTCCCTTTCTTTTCTTTCTCCCTCTTTCCTTTCCTTTCCCTTTCTTTTCTTCCTCTTTCCTCTCTTTCTCCCTTTCTATTTCTTTCCTCTCCTCCTCTCCCTTTCTTTCATCTCCCTTTCTCTTTCTCCCTTTCTTTCCTCTTTCCTCTCTCCCCTCCCTTTCTTTCCTCTCCCTTTTTTCTCTTTCTTCTTTTCCTTTCTCTCTTTCTTTCCTGTCTCCCTCTTTCTATTTCTTTCCTCTCCCTCACCTTCTTTCAGCTCCCTTTCTCTTTTCTCTTTCTCCCTTCCTTTCCTCTCTTTCCTCTCTCCCCCTCCCCCTCTTTCTCTTTCCTTTCCCTTTCTCTTTTCTTCCTTTCTTTCTTTCCTCTTTCTCCCTCTTTCTATTTCTTTCCTCTCTCCCCCTCTCCCTTTCTTTCATCTCCCTTTCTCTTTTCTCTTTCTCGCTTTCTTTCTTTCCTCTTTCCTTTCTTTCCTCTCTCCCCCTCCCTCTTTCTCTTTCCCCTCCCTTTCCTCTCTCCCTTTCCTCTACCTCCCTTTCTCTTTCCTCTTTCTTCTCCCTTTCTCTTTCCTCTCTTTCTCCCTTTTTCCTCTTTCCTCTCTCCCCCTTTCCTCTCCCTCTCCCTTTCTTTCTTTCCTCTTTCTCCCTTTCTATCCTTTCTCTCCTCTTCCCTTTTTCTTTCCTTTCCTCTTTCTCCCTTTCTCTCTTTCCTCTTTCCTTTCTCCCCCTCTCCCTTTCTCTCCTCTTTCCTTTCCTCTTTCTCCCTTTCCTCCCTTTCTCCCTCTTTCTATTTCTTTCCCCTCTGTCCCCCTCTCCCTTTCTTTCATCTCCCTTTCTTTCTTCCTCTTTCTCTTTCTTTCCTTTCTCCCTTTCCTCTTTCTCTTTCCTCTCTCTCCCCCTCTCACTTCCTCTTTTCTCTCTCCCCCTCTCCCTTTCTTTCATCTCCCTTTCTCTTTCTCCCTCTTTTTCTTTCCTTTCTCTCCCCTCTCCCTCTCTCTTTCCCTTTCTCTTTCTTCCTCTTTCCTCTTTCTCTTTCTTTCCTCCCTCTTTCCTCTCTCTCTCCCTCTCTTTTTCTCTTCACCTCCCCCCCCTTTACTAACAGAACCAGTTCACCTACCAAAACGTTTAACTTCCTCCTTTAGAGATGGGCAATGTAGATTCACCACATTCTGACAAAGAGAAATGCCAGCACCTCTCATCAATTCTGCTGCAGGGACAGCAAATGCTGTATGTTAGCAATATCTGGAGAGCTACAGTTCATCCGCACCCTCCTGAAAGGCTGTCCCATCCATTGCAATGTCACGCTTTGAAAGGCCCCTCCCCCTCCTCCGCTTCAAGCCGACTGCACCCAGCAGGGAGCCTCAGTAGCCGGCGCAGAAGGGAGCAAGGGAGGAAAAGGGACAGACCATCTCCTCACAGCTCACTTCCAATCCCAAAGTGGTGAATCCTGCTTGGGATTTGGGATTGAGAGGGGGGAAATCCTGGCTCCTAAACTGCAGGGACTTCCAACCACAGAGCTTGCTTGGCTCTGTTCCCAGCCAGCGCCACGCGTGCGCAAAACAACAGCAACAAAATACTGCGATCGAGACTTACCCGCCTGCCTGGCTCCCGGACCTCGGTAGCAAGCCATTTGAAGCAAGCAGCCTCGTTCGCAGAGAGGAGAGGAGAGAGTGAGGGCGGATGAGCTGAGTTTGTGGCAGGGATAACAAGGGTTCGGGAGAAGCTAGCACGAAAGTTCCATGTCTTTTGACTTAGCTCGCCTTGTCCCCCACTGGTTCTTTGCCCGAACAAGTCACCCTCTCTCTTTCTCTCTTTCCTCTGCCCCCCCTCCAGATGAAGAGAGAGAGAGAGAGAGAGAGAAAGAAAGGCAGACGGCGCCAAAGGGGCAGGGAGGGGACGGAGGCAGGAGGCGGTAAAAGTCGCTGAAAGGTGCCCGGGACCTACGGACCAGCCCGGGGAGATGCATGGTGAGCTCAGCTGCCTAGGGAACGGCCTGGGGACGGCCCAGGAAGTGATGCCCCCCTGCTGCAGCCTGCCTGGCCCAGGGAGACATATGGCCGGGTGAGTGGCCCAGGGACGGCACAGGAAGCAATGTCCCCCTGCCACCCAGCCCGGCCTGGGGAGACGCGGCCGCCGCCCCAGCCAGGACTACCACCTGGCCCGGGCAGACACGTGGCCGGCTCGACGGCCCAGGAAGTGATGTTCCTGCCGCCCCAGCCGGGACTGAAGCCTGGGGGGGGGCAGCAGGAGGAAGGAGGGGGAGGAGGAGGCTCCGGAGCCACAGGAGATGGCTCAGAGAGCCACATGCAGCTCCGGAGCCGCGGGTTGCCGACCCGTGACCTAGAACATGCAAGAGGAAAGGCAGTTTATAAATTAAGCAACTGATCAAGCAATTTAAAGATTAAGGTTTATAAAATCCAGATTGAAAATCCTTATTCATCCATGAAACATAGTGGGTGACTCCATCTCATTCACTTCTCTTCCAAGTTTGCTATAGGGATAAAATTGGAAAATACAAACTAAATCATATACAGTATAACCTCTTGAGTTTATTAAACTTTATTGAATTTATGTATTTTCATATAACTTTTAATAAAGGCATTGATTACAGTAAAAACATAATAAAAACTTACGGTAAAAGCATATTTTTCTCATCTATAAAAATATAGTCTATATTGACCCTCATGGGGATCCTTTCTGCTTCACAGTCCTGTTCAGTGAAAAACAATACATCCACAAATAGCACAAAAAAGGTTCAAAGGTGTTGTTAGTGTTGTGAATAGAAAAGAAAAATGCTCACAGCCTCCAGGGATGGGAAGCAGCATTATTATTTGAACCAGAGAAGCAAACAAGTTTTTTGCTCTTAAGGTTAAGTAGATCTTACACACAGAAGATGCTGGAGTCATAGTCTACCTTTAGAGATGTGACAGGTAAGAAATGTCATGCTTAATGCTTCTCAATAGTGGGAGGGAAAAGTAACTCTAAATTTAGAAAATCTTGTTTGAGAAGAGTCTATCCAGTACTGTGAAGTGGTAAAATATAAACTGTTAACATGCTCAAAATCCATATCAAATTTTATTATGAATTCTAATCAAAAAGTCACAATATTTCCTCCAAGGGAGCCGAATCCATTTTGCTTATCATTTGATCACCCTTTCATGGTAATGTGAGGAAAGCAGAGGAAAAGTAGGATATATAATATACTGTTGAAAACTAGATGTGATTTTGTTTGTTTCTCTGCTTCACAAATACAAAAAGGGAAGGAAGATGCTGTAATCTTTATATGTTATGATGAAATAATTCCAACCCACAATGTATTTCTTATCTAGCAATATAGAGAAAATTTACTCTTAGGTAGATATCCCAAAGATGCTTTTTCACGAGGTAACTGAACTTTCTTGTTTTTCTTTGAGTTGCCTCATGAAAAAGCATCCTTGGGATAATTATGACCTGGATGACTGAGAATCTCCATAGACTCTTAGGTAGATAACATGAAACCCTGTTCATGTTTATTCATGTGGGATTGTTCCTGAAGACCATCCAGAAGCTATACTGGTTCAGAATGCAACAGCATGGATATTAATAGGTGCATCTTTATATTTCCATATAATACCAGTACTCTGTGAGCTGCGTTGGCCCCCAGTAGGCTTCTGTGTTCAATTCAAGGACCTGGTTATCACCAACATGACAAAGGTCAGATTACAGTAGTTGCACAGCTGCCTATTTCCTGTTATTCTGCTCCTCCTATAAGGGAAGGCATTGTCCTCTAATGGGTTCCAGGAGATGTGTATTTTCTGTTGCTGTGCCTGTCCTTTGGAATGAAAGAATCAGATGCCCATTTATAGAACAGTGGAAATCTGGATTTTCTTTTGTGTAATTGCCAGCTCATGGATCAAGATGATAGAGAAAATTATCCTACTATGAGAGTAGTTGCAGTATTCAGTCTCTGCTATGTGTTGATCGTGTTTGTTATATTGGTTTTGAATTATACTTATTTTTTATTTGTTTTTAATTAGTGTACTCTGTCCAAAGTCACAAATTGTGAGTGGGTCAGCCTCATAAATTATTTGAATAAAATATTTTTAAGAATAAAATGACAACACTGGGGAAAATTATATTTTGCTTGGAAATGTCACCTGATTCTGTGATGATAGATGGGTGGATGGATGGACAGATATGTTAAAGAAAACTAGAACCAAAGCAGAAGGAACATATCTAACTTCTACAATTTGTTATTTCATGTTTAACACTCAGTGAATGCATACTATATTGAAGAATTGGGAATTCGACTGCTCTTGAATCTCTGTCCTTGGTGCTGGAAGAGAATTGATGATCTAATTATAATTGTAAATGCTAAACTAGAAAGATCATTTAGGGTTTATACACTGCTTAGTGGTTTAAAATTATTTATATCTCATATGCCAATAAATAACATGTATTCATCCCCATTCAGTATTTGGATGCTCAACACAGGAGCATTCAAGGATACTTCCCACATTTTTCCCACTCAGCACGGATAGGAAACAATA